CGAGGCAGGCAGGCACCACCTCAAACTAAATTCCCTAGAGCTTTTTATTGGGGTCTTGGGGGTATGCATATACAAAGTAAAAAAGTGAGACGTTAATAGTCTCATGTTTCAATTAAACAGACGGTCTTTTGTTCAAGGAAGAGGGCTATCAGGGTGAAGGACAGTGGAGCACTAAATCATCAAACCACGCTGTGGTAGGGACTTAATGAGGGAGAGTTACAGCATGCAGGTTAGATAGCTAAGCCTTGAAGGGTAATTTAATTGTCCGCTGCTTTCTAACTCTGCTGATATCCTGAATCTTCTAAGCTGCTGATTTCTATCTAGTCATTTCCCACAGATGAGTTTCTTGTCTATTCTGCTGAACAGTCCGACCCCCCTCAGCACCTTAGCCATGGGGGTAAGGGCTGTTGAGGGTAAGGCTCGGGGCAGTTCCAGCTCAAGTCCTCTGGAATGTCAGCGTATATTATGCTTCTAACCACATATTCAAATTTCAAAAAAAAATATTTTTAAGATGCAGTGTGCTACTAATAGTTGTCTGTAAACTCTAATATTGAGTTTAAGTCTTTTATTATGGAAAATTTTAATCATATACAAAAATAAACTTTTATAGCTTTATATTATAAATATATTTTTATATGTACGTGTGTATAGGAAATTTCAGACTTAAGAAAAGATTGCAAGAATAATGCATCAAATTTCTGTATACTTCTTACCCAAATTCACCAATTTACATTTTTGTCCTATTTGCTTCATGATTCTCAATTTTCTTTTGTTGAACTGTTTAAGAGTGATTGATACAGTATTGTTAAGCTCTAGTCCTGTATTCCAGTGTTGTCAGTTATCTCACTTATGTTCTTTGTAGCTTCCCCCTCCCGGGTCTTCAGCTGATCCAGGCTCATACCTTGTATTTAGTTGTCATGTATTCTTTGAACTGAAGCAGTTTCTCAGCCTTTCCTTGTGTTTGTTCACCTTGATATTTCTAGAGTATATAAGGAATTACTTTGTAGAAGCGCCCTCATTTGGGATTTGTTACTTGTTCCTAATTAGAATCAGTTTATTCATTTTGGTAGGCATAGCACAGAAGTAATTTTGTGTCTTATTTACCGTATCTTTTGAGGAGCCAGGTGATCATGATTTGTCCTAACATTTGCGATATAGGTGTAAGGACTGAGTTAAGATGGGGGCCACCGGGTTTCTACACTGTTAGGTTATCCTTTTGCACTTGAAATTAACCTATAGTTATGTGTTTTAGGTACTTTGAAACTGAGTATCTGTCCTCATCAAGCTTTTACTTACTAATATTAGCAGCTATTAGCCATTTTTTAAACTCTTATCATTCAGTACTTGGCATTCTTTTATAAGGAAGGATATTCCTTTCTTCCTCCTTTGTGTATACTTAATTAATATCTGTATAGATACATGGATTCTTATTTTATTCTGTGGGTTATAATCCATTACTATCATCTGTTTGATGCTAATCGTCTCAGATTTGATCAGTGGAGGCTCCTTCTAATTAGCTGTTATGTGCCTTTGACATGTGCCTATTATTCTTTAATGCACGTTCTCCTTTTTTAGCACAAAAAGTGTTCTAAGCTCATTGTGTATATTCCTTGCCCCAGCTCTGAAATCAACCATTTATTCAAGGAGTCCGGGTTTTATTAGAGTAATTTTAAGAAACCAGTATTTGGACAGAACAGATAAATTTTACACATATAGCTTCATACTGATACCTCCCATTCTTACCCAGCATCACAGTACATATTGTAGTCTTCCCTTTTTCTGTAGTTGGAAATCTCTTTCCCAGCAGTGAAAATGGGGTTCCTACTATCTTCAATTTATTTTCTCATTTGCTTAAGCCTCGAATGTGCAAAAGGTGGTTTCAGAACTACTACAGCAGGGATGTCCAACTCTTTTCTTTTCTGCTACACATTGAAAGACTAAGAGTTGTCTTGGGCCACAAAATACACAAACACAAAGGAAAACTGGAGCAAAAAAAAAAAAGGTCCATGCATACGTTTCATGATATCTGACACTGCAAATAAACAAAAAATGTCCTCACAAAATCAGCGTGCAGGCCTGCAGGTTGGACACCCCTGAAAAAGCAGACCTGTGAAATGGAGTGCACTGTTTGTTTACAGTTCTTTTGTTTTTCTATTTTTTTCTGAAATTTATACACACTGAAGTACCCAATGATAAGTTTATGACATGGTCAGTTTGGGAAAATATGTACATGTGCTCTTGCATCCCACTCCTCTATCACAACATAAAACAGCGTATTCGTTACCTCACAACATTTCCCTGAGCCCTTTTCTGGTCATTCCCCACCCTGGCCCAAAACAACCATAATTTTTTTTGTTCATTATAAATTAGTTTTGTCCTTTCTTAGATTTTAGAATTTCATATAAATACGTACAGTATGTAGTCGTTTGTATCTTCTTTTGCTCAGCATAATAAGAGGTCATCTTTATTTTGAGCACATCATTGGTTCCATCCTTTTCATTACTAAGTAGTATTTCCTTTGTGTGATCATCCTACATGTTTTGTCTGTTTCTTATTGATACTTGGATTGGTTCCACTTTTAGGCTTGTGATGCTCTTTTTTACATGTTACCTTGACTGGGCTGTGGCCCCCAGTTATTCTGTCAAACATCAATCTAGATGTTTAGTGCTGTGAAATGTCTTGTACAAGAATCAAGGTCCATAATCAGTTAACTTTAAATAAGGGAGTTAATTTAATCACATTAAGTTAAGTTAATTGCATTAAATAAGCAATAATCTGGGTGGGGCTGATTCAATTGGTTTAAAGTTTTTAAGAGCAGAGCTGAGGTATCTCTGAAAAGAAATTGATCCTGTGGATAGCAGCTTAATTCCATAACTGAGAGTTCTAGCCTGCCCTTTGGACCCACCTTATCAGCTCCCATAATTATGTGCACCAAATTCCTGCTATAAATCTTCTCACATATATTTCTTACTTGTTCCGTTTCTCTGGTTGAACTGTATTCTGGCTATTACAAATCAATCTGCTATGAATAATATTCTGTGCAACTGTAGTGGGCATACATTTTCAGTTTCTTTGGGGTAGAAACCTAGGAATGGAATTTCTAGATCAAAGGGTAGATGTCTATTTAATTTTATAAGAAATTGCCAAACTCTTTTCCAACATTTTTGTGCTATTTTAGGTTCTACCAGCATTATATGAGATTTCTACCCATTTTACATTCTCACCAACATTCACTGTTGGTTAGTCTTTTTTTTTTTAGGAGACAGAATCTCACTTTATTGCCCTCGATAGAGTGCTGTGACATCACAGCTCACAGCAACCTCCAACTCCTGGGCTTAGGCAATTCTCTTACCTCAGCCTCCCGAGTAGCTGGGTGCCCACCACAATGCCCAGCTATTCTTTTGTTGCAGTTTGGCTGGGTCCAGGTTTGAACCCGCCACCCTCAGTATATGGGGCCGGCACACTACCTGCTGAGCCACAGGCGCCACCTTGGGCAGTCTTTTTGATTTTAGCCCTGGTTTTGGTGAGTGGTGTCTACTGTTGTTTTAATTTGCATTTCTCTGGTGACTAAAAAATATGAGCACTATTTCATGTAGTCATTAGGCAATTGTAGATCTTCTTGTGTGAAGTTTATGTTCAAATCTTCCCATTTTTCTAGATTGGGTTGTTTTTATTATTGACTTACAAGAGTTCTTCAAATATTCTGAATGTACATCCTTTGTCAGATATTTATTCTGCTAATATTTTTCCTCTAGTCTTGCCTAAGCATTTTCCTAAAAGTGTTTTAATGCAGGTTGGCGCCTGTGTCTCAAAGGAGTAGGGTACCGGCCCCATATACAGGAGGTGGCCAAAAAACACACACACACAAAAAAAAGTGTTTTAATGCCCAGAAGTACTTGATTTTGATTCTTTTTTGTTTGTTTGTTTCGTTTTGTAAATTTTATGGTTGCTGCTTTCCTTTATCTTGTCTTAAGAAATTTTTACTTACCACCAATGTCATAGAACTGTTTATTTCTAAAAATCCTGTAGTTATAGGTTTATGTCTGTCATCTCAAAATTGTTTTTATAAATAGTGTGAGCTAGTAGTTGAAGTTTATGGGCTTTTCTTTTTTTTCTGTGAATATTTACTTGTTACATCAATATTTGTTGGAAAGACTGTTCTTTCTGGGTGGATTGTTGTAGCATCCTTCTTGAAAAATCACTTGATTGCAGAAGTGTGGATTTACTTATGGATTCTTGGGATCTCTTGGTTTTTCCTTAGATTATGACCAAGTTAAGCATTTAATTCTGGTAGTTAAGTCTCTCAGTTTTCTTTTTTCAAAATGTTTTTGACTATTCTAGATTTTTTTGTATTTGCATGTCAATTTTAAAATCACTATTTTGTAAAAGTCTGCTGGGATGATCATTGCGATTGATGTGGTTGATTACCACCCTCATCACTTCTTTTTAGCACTATACTGAATTATCACTAAGATTGATGTGAATCTGTATTTTAAAAATTAACAATATTGAGTATCCTAAGAGCATCATGTGTCTTTCCATTATTTAAGTCTTTACTTTTTCTCAGTGGCATCTTTAATGTTTGTTTTTGTTACTAGATATTTTATATATTTTTGACTTTGTGGGTAATGGTTTTTTTAAGTTTTATTTTCACATTGTTTACTGCCAATATCTTGACATACCTTTGACCTTCCTGAATTTGTTTATAAGCTATTTCTTCTTTCTTTCCTCTTCCTTCCTTTCTTTGAATGATTGCCTAGGATTTACTATGTAAACAATTATAACATTTCTAAATAGAGAATATTTTACTTTTTCTTTTTGCAGTATTTATGCTTTTTATTTCTTTTCTTACCTTATTGCAATGGCTGGGGGGGGGTGGGAGCTTTCAGTACAGCACTGAAAAGAAGTGATGGGGTGGTAATCCTTACCTTATTGTTGACCTTAGGTTGATTGTTTTACCGTTGAATATGAAGTTAATAGTAGCAGATTTTATGTTTCAGGTACTGAACAGTACAGTGAATACACAGGCTATGCTGAGACATATCGTTGGGCCCGGAGCCATGAAGATGGGAGTGAAAGGTGAGTCTGTCTCTGACTTTAGTATCACATGCTTAAAAGGAAAGGAATGTGAACTTCGACCTTATATGCTGTGTGTCCCTTCCAGCAATTGAACTTTCTTTTTAAGTTCAATATTACAGGTTCATGGGCAGTTGAAACAATATCATCATCTCCATATACCAAATAGAGGAACAGAAAAGATAAAAACTGAAAGTCTAAAGCTAAGACAAGAAGGGCAGAGCTCTCTGCAGTTCTTTACTTATAAGTTACCAATTAAAAGCAAGGCAGTGGCTCAGCTCCATAGCACGGTGGTTAGGGCACCGGCCATGTGCACCCGGATTTGTGGGTTTGATAGTCCCAGCTACTAGAAGGCTGAGGCAAGAGAATCGCGTAAGCCCAAGAGTTTGAGGTTGCTGTGAGCTATGATGTAATAGCACTCTACTGAGGACAACATAGTGAGACTCTGTCTCAAAAAAGAAAAAAACAAGGCAATGGAGGTTAACCACCAAGTTCAAACTTGTTTAGACTTATTTAGAATAGGTTCTACTTAGAACTTCAAGTCCTAGGTGAGCTTATTTAGTTATCCTTAATTTTTCTGTTGAAATGAGTTAAGTGAGGGAAACCTATGTTGGGACAGTGGCCTAATGCCACACAATCCAGTCAATGATAGATCCTACAGTGAACTTAGCTGCTACTGTCTCCCATTTCTTAAAATGCATTTTTATATTTTGACATTCCTGCTTCCTCACTAAATTGTGTAATTCACCAGAGGTAAATTTTTATAAATATGCTACCTGAAAGCTTGTGGAGTTTTTTTGTGTTGTTTGTTTTTGGAATGAGAAAGCCATTGGGCAGAATCAGCTTTTGCCCATGTAGCCATATTTGTACCAAGGACTTATTCTTTGAATATCTCAAGTCCAGCCTCTGGTTTCTTTCTCCTTATTTTGTATAAAATACGTGGTTGCCACAAGCAGTTTTCGTGTATGTTTATTCCTAATAATTATTTGCAAGGTAGCACAAAGGTTTCTGTTGTTATTCTCCAGTGTGAAAAGTTGCTTGGCATAGCAATATATGCAAATGTATAAGGAGATGAAAACATTTGGAATTTTACCCATTTCCAAAATTATTTCAATTAGTCCTTCTGTTTCCACAGGCAGCATGTTATTGTCTGCTTTGATGTCTTTGTCTTTTTAAAAATAGTCTCTCACAGATGACAGTTGAGCATAGCAGGCAGAAAGCTACACTGAATTATTTCACATTTTTATAACACTTGACTTCTTGGGATTATTTCCTAGACAATATATGACGACAAAAACCCTAGCGATTTAAAGCAGATCTCTCAAAGCAAAGTAGGAATGAGCTCTTGTCAAAATACAGACTGTCTTTAGTATTAGAGGAAAACAAAGAACTAAATTTCTTTTGTTTGCCTCAATATCCTTTAACCTCTGAGACTCACTATAAATGATGTTCCTGCTCACAATCTGTCATTCTGCTGTCTCTTGTTAAGTTTTCATTTTACTTTTTAATGCCTAAGAGTGCATAATGTGTATGCCTTGGTATCTAAAAAATAGAAGAGTGTGTCCTCTCTTCCACTTTTGTTAGACCCACAGGCACTGGTTTGTTTTTGACTTTTTTTGTTGTTGTTGAGACAGTCTCACTATGTTGCCCTTGGTAGAGTGCTGTGGCATCTGCAGCTCACAACAACCTCAAACTCTTGGGCTTAAGCGATTCTCTTGCCTCAACTTCCCAAGTAGCTGGGACTACAGGTGCCCACCACAAGGCCCAGCTATTTTTGGTTGCAGTTGTCATTGTTGTTTAGCTGGCCCAGGCCGGGTTTGAACCTGCCAGCCCCGGTGTATGTGGCTGGCACCATAACCACTATGCTACAGGCGCCAAGCCAGTGTTTTGGATATTTTAACTGCCAGAGTCTTGGCACTTGTGAGAGTTTCCAGTGGCTTCACCTGTTCCTTATCTTCCTCCCCTTTCTGTCTTGTCCCAGGGACGACTGGCAGCGGCGCTGCACTGAGATAGTTGCCATTGATGCGCTTCACTTCAGACGCTACCTTGATCAGTTTGTGCCTGAGAAAATGAGACGGGAGCTTAACAAGGCCAGTAACCTTATTTCCTAGTTCAGCTGGCAGCTGTCATCTATTTACTGCCATTTTATTAATGCTGAAATTAATGCTTTCTGGTAATTCTTGCAGTGTCAGTATGTCTGCCCACAGCTCTGCTGATTTAATGGTTCTGTCAGCCTGTACAAGATGTACTTTCCATTTCATAATTGTTTGATTAGCAGCCGAGGCTGCCAAATAGACTGTTGCTTGATATTAAACCCCACACATGCATTTATCTCATCAAGTACTTTTAGCTACTTTGGAACATGGTCATTGTAAAACCATATAGAAATGTATGAGCCCTAACAATTTTTCTCAGACCTCCCCAACGACATTTTCACTGTTAGGTATGCTATCATTTAAACAGATAAACCAAAAAAAAAAAAAAAAATCAAGTTAATTATTGTCCTATTTTAGGTAAGATTCTCATTAGTTGTTTATTGATTTAGTGTAATTTGACATATTTATGATGAAATCTGTGCTTTTCTGTGGTACTTAGTGCTACTGTAATCATCTCTTTCGTTTCCATACTATTACAGAAATACAAAAATGAACCATATTTATTATTTACATTTTTAATACTGGTAACCATAGCACATAAACTCTATTGTACAATAGAGTGTTGATTTTGTTTTCCAGATTTTGTGCCTTACCAAAACACCTGAGATTTTGTTTAGTTCTCAAATTAGTCTCACAAGAATCTCACCCAATTCTGGAAACCGTTGTTTGGTTCCCATGAGTAGGTTTTTGTTTTGTTTTTGTTTTTAATAGTGCAAATGTCTTTAATTTTTTTAGAACTGTTACGCCATGAGTTCATAGGGAATAGGTTCGGGCAGCCCAGGCTTGTTTGCACTGGTTCTCACAGAGTGCGCTTCTCTGCGTGGAGCAGGCTGGAGCTTCAGTTAAAGCCAGGCACGTTTCCCTTTGACTTCCTTCTTTTTCTCGTCTTTTTCCTTCATATGTTTCAAGAAGCTGTCTCAGCTCTTAGAGTGGTTAATATGCTCAGTGTGCACATTAATTCTCTTGGCAAGAACCTTCCCCTTGTGTTTGATCATGATAGTCACAACAACATGCTGGGTAATAATGGTTGACCAGCTTTACCATGGTGACATCTGTGGGGCATTTTTTTTGAACAGTGCCCACTCTTTTGATGTCTACAATATCCCCTTTCTTGTAGATTCACATGTATGTGGCCAAGGAAACACGTCCACGTTTTCTAAAAAGCCTAGGGAACATGTGCCTCTCTTTCCCTTTCTGTTTCTCAGTTTGGCAAATTACTGGAAGACAGCAGTTCCAGCTGAAATGCCCATGAGTAGAAATTGATCACGAGATTATTTATTTAGATAATAGGTTTGTTGCATTGCATGGATATGTATTCCAGTTCCTTGATAAAGATGTCTGATAATGATAGCAGACTGGGTGTGAACAACCAAAAAATCCAGACAGGTTTTTATTTCACTTATAAACTAGGAGTAGATATTTTGAATATAATTAGGTATGTTATTTTATACCGTAATCCATTTCAGAATCTAAATTTTTCTCCAAAATTTTACAGGGGCAAAAATAAACTATTACAAGGGTACAAATGTTTTTATCTACATAGATAACTTTTGTAATGTTTGAGTTAGGACTTGAGAATCTAATTTATTGTTGAGCACTTTCTATTATTTACACATTTATATTTGTGTGTGTGTGCAGTGTTTTTGGAGATAGGGTCTCACTCTGTCACCCAGGCTGGAGTGCAGTAGTATGAGCATAAGTCACTATTGCCTCAAACCCCTAGACTCAAGTGGTCTTCCTGCCTCAGCCTCCCAAGTAGATAACTGGGACTACAGGCATTTGCCACCATACCTGACTAATATTTCTTATTTTTTTTTAGAAACAAGGTCTCATTATGTTGCCTAGGCTGGTCTCAAACTGCTGACCTCAAGTGATCTTCCCACCTCCACCTTCTGAGTGGCTGAGATTAAAGGTGTGAGCCATCACACCTGGCATCTTAAATATAATTTATTAGATTATTTTGATAATTAAGAGTTCTGTAATGAATTTCATAAAATGTTTGAAGAATGGCTCGGTACCTGTAGCTCAAGTGGCTAAGGCGCCAGCCACATACACCTGAGGTGGCGGGTTTGAATTCAGCCCGGGCTGGCCAAAAAGCAACAATGACGGCTGCGACGAAAAAATAGCCAGGCGTTGTGGCGGGCGCCTGTGGTCC